GCAGCCCTTCGTGGCCTCCTCGCTGCCCTTCGTGGCCCCGTTGCAGCCCCTCGTGGCCTCCTCGCTGCCCTTCGTGGCCCCGTTGCAGCCCTTCGTGGCCCCCTCGCTTTGTTTCGTGGCCCCGTTGCAGCCCTTCGTGGCCCCCTCGCTGCCCCTCGTGGCCCCGTTGCAGCCCTTCGTGGCCCCGTTGCAGCCCCTCGTGGCCCCCTCACTGCCCTTCGTGGCCCCGTTGCATCCCTTCGTGGCCTCTTCGCTGCCCTTCGTGCCCCCATGTATGTATGCCCTTCTTGGCCCCGTTGCAGCCCTTCGTGGCCCCCTCGCTGCCCTTCGTGGCCCCGTCGCAGCCCTTCGTGCCCCCGTTGCAGCCCTTCGTGGCCCCCTCGCTGACCTTCGTGGCCCCGTTGCATCCCTTCGTGGCGTCCTCGCTGCCCTTCGTGGCCCCATATATGTATGCCCTTCGTGGCCCCCGCTCGTTCGCGCTCTTCGTGGCCCCATATGCATGCCCTTCGTGGCCCCGCTGTCGCCCTTCGTGGCCCCCTCGCTGCCCTTCGTGGCCCCGTTGCTGCCCTCAGTGGCCCCGTCCTTGCCCTCCGCGGCCCAGTATACGTATGCCCATCCTGGCCCCCGCTCGTTCGCGCCCGTTGTGGCCCCATGTGCATGCCCTGCGTGGCCCCGCTGTCGCCGTTTGTGGCCCCCTCACTGGCCTACGTGGCCCAGTTGCTACCCTCAGTGGCCCGCCCCATCGTTGCTTTCTGTGGCCCCGCACTATCTGCCCTTCGTGGCCCCCGCTCGTTCGCGCTCTTCGTGGCCCCATACGCATTCCCTTCGTGTCCCTGCTGTCGCCCTTTGTGGCCTACTTCGTGTCCTTGTTGCCCTGCTATTGTTCTCTCTCGCTCTCGCTTTCGCTCGTCGTCGTCGTCGCCGTCGTCGTCGTCGCCGTCGTCGTCGTCCCCGTCGTCGTCGACGTCGTCGTCGTCGTGGTCGGTCCCCTGTCCGTCCCTCTTGTGGTCGGGTCGACGGTCCGCGGCCGCCCCGCCGATCAGCGCTGCCGCTGGCCAGGCCGAGTGTCCGCGGCCGCCCCGCCGCTTGCCGGGGCCTGGCCTGCAGGGAAGAAAGGTATACCCCCCAAAAGGGGTTCGATCGAAGACGAAGAGGGCGGGTATCGACGGTTCGGGAAATACGCGTTATTGTACACTCGAGCAAATAAGGGCGAACAGTCTCAAATTGTTTGCTGTTGTTGTTGTTGGTATTGGTGTTGTTGTGGTGGTGGTGGTTGTTGTTTTGACATGTCTAAACGTCTCGGGTGGCTCCCAGAGGATAGCGGAGTCCAGGGGCTTCGGAGGAGCAGGAGGAGGAACATAAGCTGGAGGATGATGAGGGGATCGGATGATGAGGGGGATAATGACGATGGTGAAGATAACGCGCACTACCGGGAAATGAGAGCTGGTAGCGTAATGTTTTCCCATCGTCGTTTACGATTGACTGAAGCAGCTAAGGTCAGCAACGGTTAGATGAGATGTTGATGATTGCTACGGGCATGCATGAAAGTTTAAATATTTCGTTCTACAGCAGCAGGATACCGTCAACATCCTTATGAGCACCGCTTTAGCTCGCGAGAACTGCAGCGTTCATGGGGGCACCACGGCGCGCTTGCGGCTATGGGGCGACGGAAGCCAGAGGTCGTCAATACCAGAATTGGTTGCGAACGCGATCCGTACGGCCCTTGCAAATGCCAGCGCCACTGATGTGTCTATCCACACCACAGTACCCTTTGGGTGCCAGAATTCGCCTGCGAGCACACTGTGTGCTTGCGACCACCAGGCGGGGAAGGAAACCGCACCCTGCCAGTACCACAACAGGCTGCGAGCACCACGTGCGAGCGCCACAGTACGCTTGCGAACACGATGTAGCAATCTGCGAGTTGACGGCACAGTAACTTGCGATCGCCACATTGCGTTTGAAAACGCCACAGAGTTCTTGCGACCACCAGACGGCGAATGAAGCCCAATCAAGTACCACAGTGTTTGCGAGCATCAGATCCGCAGTATGCTGGACCATGATGCGCATGTGAGCACCAACAGTGTGCCTGTGATCGCTACAATCGCTTGCGAGCTGTGTGCTTGCGACCACCCGACGGCGAGTGAAGCGATTTGGACATCACCACCCTGCGGGCGCCACGCCACGCGTACGCGCAACATAATGCCAGAACCACATCGTAGTTTAAGAGTGCCACCGCTTGCTTGCGAGCACCAGCGATGTGTTTCTGAGCGCCGCGTTGTACTTGCGAGCGCCACGGCATGCTTCAGAACACCACGTTCTGCTTGCGACCACCGGGCGGCGAGGGCAGCCAGACCCTGCCAGCACAGCCCCACCCACATGCACAACAATTATGTTGGTGGCTGCCAGCACTGCAGTTACCCGCGAGCACCGATGAATGTCTGCGAGCACCAACAGTGAATGTGCGTACGTTCACCAATTTCCCCGAGCAGCGCTTGCGCTTGAAGGATTCTTACTTCTTGTTCTAAGGGAACTGGCCCTGGCTGTCTGCCTGGCGGTTCCATGTTTGCCGTCGCCATCGTCGCCCCGCAGCCGCCCGTCGTCTGGGCCTGGCTTTCGGTCTGGCGGCTCCGTGGTCGCCGTCGCCGCCCTGTCGCCGCCTAGGTTGCACAGCATAGATTGCACCATATGGGTGGCACGGTAAATATCGCACTACATAGTTTGCAGCACGCAGATTGCACCACGTCGATTGCACCACATCAATTGCGCACCACACATTTTGCAGACCATGTATTGCACCACATAAGTTGCAAAGCGTAGGTTGCACAACAGATATTGTATTGCGTTGTTTTGCACGGCATCGATTGCACCACGTATTCTATTTCACAGCGTTTTCACACCATATGTTGCACAACATATCACATCGTTCATGCCATAGCATTTATTGCGCAACATATTTCGAACAACGTAGATCCTCCTCTCTAAAAAAAAACTCTACCCCCCCCCCCGGGATCATAACCCCCCCTTGTCGTATTGCAATTTACATACGATTCTGCCCCATCGTCCGTTTGAAATTTGATGAATTCATATTATCCCAGGGAGGGGCGGTATCCCCCCGCCACTCTCTGCAACCAGTACTATGCGCGCGCATTCGCTTATCACAAATCATTTGATTTCAAGAATCACTTGCAGCAGACGGGACGAAGTGCACATGCGCGCGTCGTCGTGCGCGAATGCCGAAACTCTTCAAACACCTGCGGTTTCGCAAGGATTTCAAAATCGAGTGTCCAAAACGCATATAAACACATGGATTCGTAACGCTGATTTTCTTAATCAAAAGAAGCAGGCTTGGCTTGTGCGCGCGTTCTTGCGAGTTCTTAAGAAGATCATCGTTTTTCCGCATTTTCAGAAACTGCTACCAAACAGGCTTCGCGCGCGCATGTCGAAATCGTTCGAACGCCCTTGCGCGAGTGCCGTCGCGAGAACCCTTTGCAACACATGAGATGAAGTGCGCGCGCGCGCGCGTCGTCGCGCGCGCGCACGTAAAAACACGGTTTCGTAGCGAATTAAAAAACAGAGTGTCCAAAACCCATACAACACATGTATTCGCAACATCCGTTTTCAAAAAAAACGTGCGATCGCCCTTTGTGACTTCTTAGCGGAACCACTTTTTCAACATCATTATGGAATTCTGCCCAACGGGCCTTTGGCGCCGCATGCCGAAATCATTCGCACGCCCTTGCGCGCGTGTTGGGGGGCGGCACGATCCGTGTCAAATCATCCCATGCGGGCCATTCTCGCGAGTCGGCCGCGAGCGCATGCCAACCTCTTTCCGACACCTTCATCACCGACGCGAGGACGCCGTCATCGTCGTTGGCGCGATCATCATTTGCGCCGTCGCTGACCGTGCCGTCGTCGCTGTCAGCATCGCCACCAGCATCGCTACTACCATCACCGTGTCTACCGTTGTCGACGTTGCCATGATACCGCGCCCGCCCGAGTCGCCGAGTCGCATTGAAGTGCCCGCTGGGATGTGCCCAGCGGTCAGCGCCACCGCGGCTGGGTCGGTCGCGCCAAAGTAGCTGGCCGCTGCGCGCGCGTGCATGCGCGGGCTGTCGCGGCCGCAGAGATGCACCAGCCAGCGCCAAACACTCATCGCAATCGCCGCCGCATGGGGTTTGCAAACCTAGTTGCGGGTGGGTGGGTGGGATGTTTCCGCGAGCAATGAAGTAGACACTTTCATGTTGAGTATTGGTGGATTGCACCATGTAGACTGCACCACAGGCATTGCGCCACCGAGGTTGCAGAACAGACATGGCTACAAACACGCTGTTTTGGGCCCGCACTGGCTAACATGCCCAAATCATTGCGAGTGGTCTCTGATAGTTTCATGTCTGATTGCTACTACTACTACCCGTCCTCAGGCGGCACGGGCGTGAATCGTCGCGCTACCAGGGAAATTGGGGGATGGGGGGGCGAGGTAACGGGCATCATTGCGAATGATGTCTGACGTCGAGGAGCAGGCCGAAAGGGGGTGGCCTTGGCTGTTTACTGGATAGGAGAGGGAAGCCGTTCAGGCCGCTCGCACGTACACGAGAGGAGGATGGCAACATATGTAGTTTTGGCGCGCATGTTCCACAGAAGGCAGGCTACGCAGATGTGGGTTGGCACGTATATGTGCGTTACCAGACGAGCATGTGGTACATTTTCCGCCCCGCGCGCGGACGTGTTCGTGTGCGCGAAAACGTACCAACCGAATCACACATGTGTGACGATGCAAGCTTGAGAACAATCGGAGTCACGCGCGCACTAGACCCCATATATGCACATGATACAGGGAGTTGCGATGTGGAGGTTTCTGGTGGCATACCACCAGGGCATATCGCACGTGGCGGGCTCGCGAAGGGCCCCCCCCGCCCAGCATTGGAAACGGGGCGACCAGACCAGACAACAAAACGTGGAGAATGGGCTCCTGCGCCTCCCCGACGGCAGTGGCCGCGCAGGCGACTACGAATGGTACGTCGGAGTCATGGAAGAGCGCTCGCTCTACGGAGAGGCCTCCGCCCCCGGCGGCGGATCCCGCGGGAGGCCCAGGGGCAGTGTGGAGGATTTCTCCGAAGTGCTCCGGCGACCCGTCCTCCTCCTCCTCCTCCTCTTCCTCCTCCGCCTTCTCCTCCTCCTCCTCCGCCTCCTCCTCCTCCTCCTCCTCCTGCTCCTCCTCCTCCTCCTCCTCCTCCTCCTCCTCCTCCTCCTCCTCCTCCTCCTCCTCCTCCTCCTCCTCCTCCACCTCCTCCTCCCCCTCCCCCTCCTCCATCTCCTCCTTCCCCTCTTTCTCCTCCTCCTCCTCCTCCTCCTCCTCCTCCTCCTCCTCCTCCTCGGGTCGCCTACGGCCTCGGGGGACACCGTGCAGCGCAGTGCGGGAAGGGACCGCACCCCAGGAGCATGCGAGAAGGACGCTCATCGTGTTGGGGGTTGGGGAGATAATTACAGGGCAGGACCGCGCAAGTCGCACCTTCAACAGGCGCGATGCTACGGATGCTCTGATCCTTTCGCCCGGCCCCGCCTTCCCGACCCGACCCTTCTCGTTCTGAGCATGGCGGGAGGACCACAGGCAGGGCGGAGGAGGTTTGCCACGAGACGGGCGGGAGCCCCCAGGGGGCAGAGCAGGGCGGGGGATGCTCGCGCGGCGGCAGAGGGCACCTCCGGCCCCCCCGACGGAGGAGCTGCGCTCTCGGGGGGAGGGGCCGAAGTGCCCCATGGCGACCTGCGAAGGCGGCCTGGGCACAACGCAGGCGATCACAAACATGGATCAAGTTACCGGGCGAAGAACGGTACAACATAAACTTTTTCGCTGTCGGGGGCGCCTGTCCCAGGGTGGCTGGAAAGTTTATACCCTTACGGTGGCACCGTAGGGGTATAGACTTTCCAGCCGCCCAGGGGCAGGTGTCCCCGACGGCGTAAAAGTTTATTTTATATCGTTCTTCGCCCGTTAATCAAGGGGGCGTGGATTAGCGACGGGTCCCGTTTCCATGGGAAATCGCGGATTTCCGCCGCCGAGCGAGGCGGGCCGGCCGCGTTTTGGGGAGGGCACCTCCCCCGATCCATGGATTGGGCGGCCGCGCGCCAAATCCATGGATCGCTAATCCGTGTTTGCGCGCCCCCGAACGACAAAGAACCACAGCCACAACCAGAACCGAGTGGATCTTCCTGGAGGGCCCCTCGGGGGAGAGCCCGTCGACCTCGGCATGAACCCTTTGATTGCGGATGTGGTCGATTTGATCGTCCTGGACGCCCACGTCGATCACAACCAGTTCTGAGCTGGCTTCGGTGCTCTGACGACTGCTTGCGTGCGCTAGACATCCCCAGCGGCGTGTCCTCGATGCGACTGTGGTCGCTCGAAGGTCGGGGGCTCGTAGAGGGAGGGTTGCCCAGCCAGATGCTCCCGATTCACGCTTTCCCTTCTTCCAGGGGCCGTCCGGAGCTATTTTCCCTCCAACCTCGGTATCGTTTAATCGATCTCCATTCCCATCCCCATCCCCTTCGAGACCCCCGCCAAATTACCACCACAGTTGGGGATACAACCCTCGAAACCCGAAGGGAAGTACCTACATCCCCATCTAGGGGGGTCAATCGGCCAGTGGGGCCGAGGCCACGCCGCTGGGGATGGGGATCGGTCAACGCTACTCACAGCCCCCACCTCTGCCCCTACACCTTAGGCGATGCTCAAGAAAACTTGAGTTTTCGGCCAGAGTCTCGATTATTCTTGATGTTTCAATGTACGTCCTAAGATTCAAAAGGAATTCTTTAGGTTTTTTACCCAAGTTCTGAGACTGTGAATTTCTGAACCCATGATTTCTTAAGCATTTCGCAGGGTCTACCTCCTGGGTCCATCCTTGGCCACTTTCGTTGGCCGCGCCCCGCTCGAAACGCTTCGAAATGGGCGTCCAAGGCCCTCGCATCCCTATCGCGCCTCCTTACTCTGCGGGTTGACTCGACCCCACCTCTGCCCCCCCCCCCCGAGCTCGCTGCCCCCGCACCCCCGGGGTGCCGGGAGAGGCCCGCCGCCTCCGCCGCGCCCCGCCCGGGGACGCTATATCCCCGCGCGGGCTCCCCGGCCGTCCCGGCCGGCTGGGGCGGGGGGGCCGCGGCCGGCCCGCGCGGGGCTCCGTGGGCGCCGTGGGCGGCGCCCGAGGTCCTGGCGGGGGCGGCAAGGAGGGGGGTGCTGACGAGGGTTAAGTCGGACCTGTCCCTCTACAGGGGGGATGTTCGGAAATAGTCAAAACATAGCCTGGGGACGATGTTTTGACAATTTTTGAGCATTTTTTTGTATTTTTTAACGTTCGTCCAAAATCCCCCTGTAGGGGGACAGGCCCGCTCTAAGACTAGCGGGGGGTGGATATCATGGCGGGGGCCATGATATTTCCCAGACTTCACGGCATGTCATCACGTCCCCGGCCCCCCCGCTGGGCCGCGCACGTGCCGCCGGCCATGATCTGCACCCCACCCTCTTCGACACCCCCCTCGTGGCTTAAGTCGGGCTTGTCCTCTACAGGGGGAATGTTCCAAAATAGTCCCAAAATAGACTGGGGACCAGTTTTTGAGCATTTTCTGGCTTTCCTGGAGTATTTTAGGAGTCTTTTTTATTTTTCGTCGACAATCCCCCTGTAGGGGGACACGCCCGACTTAACTCTTGGCCGCTCCCGATCCTGGCGGCGCCGCCGCGTCGAGCCGGGCGCTCCCGCCCGAGGTGCGGGCCGCGGGGCCCCCGCGGAGCGCTGCGGGTCGGCTGCTCGCGACGCTGCGCTTCCCTGGCGACGTCTCGGGTCTCCGGAGCCATCGGGAGGGCTGGAGGCTCCTCCTCCTCCTCCTCCTCCTCCTCCTCCTCCTCCTCCTCCTCCTCCTCCTCCTCCTCCTCCTCCTCCTCTTCCCCTCCTCAGGCTGCCATTTGGGCTCCCACGCGCGCGGGGGCGTGCGAGGGGGGCGTCCAACTGGCCCCAGACGCCGGCGGCCCGCGGCCATTGCGGGCGCTGGTGCACATCGGCGACGGCTGGCCGCTCGCCTCGACGGCGCTCGCCGTCGCCAGCCTGGCACAGGCGGCAGCGGCGGCGCCGCGCGGAGGCTCGCCAGGTCCTCCGCGTCGCGGAGGCCCGCAGGACGCTGGCTGGCCACCACGGCGAGGCCATGGCGCAGGACGACGTGGCCCATGGAGCCCCTTGGCGCACAGTTCAGGGGCGTGGCGGCGTGGCGGTGGCGGCCCTGTGGGCATGTGCGGCCACGCGGGCATGCGGGTTCGCCAGCAACTACGCGACCCGCGAGACCTGCTGGGCCTGTGGCCGCGACCGCCAGGGCAGGCCTACGGGTGCCAAGGGCGCTCGCCAGCCCACCAGGCCGCGCTCGGCGACAAGGCCTCGCTCGCAGGGTGCTGGCGGCGATCGTCATCATCGCGGCGCTCCTCCTGGAGCCGACGGCGGGGGCACCGCGGAGTCCAACGCCGTGGTCAAGTGCCGTCGGGCCCTCAAGGCGCTGCGCAGCGTCTATGACGAAGAGCACTCCTTCGTCGTGGCGGCCAAGGCCGAGCTCGGCCAGGCCGAAGCGCATGAGAGAGCTCACGTGGCGCCTGCCGACGTGCTCCGCTCGGCGCTGGACAGGCAGGCATCCCGTGAGGAGGAGCGTGCCAAGCTTCAGACGGAGGTCGACACGCGGGCAGCCCAGCTCAAATCGGCCACCGACAAGCTGGACCGCGTCAAGCAGCAGCTCATGGAGTCCAATGAGGAGGTGGCCCAGGCCCAGCTGGCCAACGCAGCACATACCGCACCTCTGGGTGGCGACGCGGCATCATCGGTGGCGGCTCTCCAGCTGCTCCTGCAGTCAGCCCACAACTCCATCCAGCAGGGCCAGGATCGCAACATCGTGGGCGGTGCCATCCTGGAGCAGCTGGTCGGACACGTCCGCACGCTTGGGGACGCCATGCCGAAGCCTTCTCAGCCAGGACAGGCGACGATGGAAGTGGAGGCTTTTCGCACCGCGGGCGGGCAGCCCGCTGGCGTTGGCGCCCACTCAGCAGTCACAGCAGCTGCGCAGCAGGCAGCACCAGGCGCAGCACGGGCACCTGCAGCATCACCAGTACCTGCAGCACCGACGCCATCAGGACCAGCAGAGGCCGCGTGGGAGTATGCGGGCACCATATAGACGAGCCACGCGCCGAAGGGCGCGCACCAGCATGGGGATTGTCACATTCAATGGGTCTTGTTGGCGACCGTGTCAGCAGTTTTTGCAGAATGGAGCGACGGATGCGCTGGTGGTGATGGCTCAAGAACTTCGACTCGATGGCGAGGCTCTGGATCAGGCGCGGACATGGGCGACGAGAAATGGATGGCAGCCATTCATCAGTCCGTGCAGACGCCTGGCTACCAAGTTGCCGAGTGCGGGCGTGGGGATCTTTGTCAGGGCGCATGTATCCACTACTCTTCTTAGTGGCTTTGGGGGCGTTACTGGCGGGTTCGAGATCCTACGATCGTGGGCGGTGGCAGTACATGTACATGCGGGGATCAAGGGAGGATTCATCGTCGGGTCGGCGTACATGGAGTCGGTCCCAGACCCCGATTTTCTCACCACTAATTACCAGAAGCTCATGCGCATCGCGGAGTGCATGCGTTACTTCTCTGCGCCATTCATCTTCGCAGGCGACTGGAACACGGACCCTGCCAACTTGGAGGTGTTGGGATTCTTGCAGATCATGCCTGCCATTGCGGTGGCCCCATCGGACGTCGGGCACATGCCGTTCGGCCAAGACGGGAACCTACAGCACCATCGACTATTGGCTGGCCTCACCTGGCTTTGCGAAGCCCTCTCGCGTCCCCTGCGTGCTGGACTCTTGGGCACCGAGGCCCCGCTATCCTGTGCGCATGGATATCGACGCGAAGCCCAGGGCGCACATGCAGGTGCACCTGAAAGCGCCCAAGCCTTTCCCCAAGCAGGCACCGAGGTACTCAGGGGCCAGTCCCCTGTACGGGCCACCCATGCTGCAGCCCCACCTAGACGTGGTCAGGCAAGATG